TGACCTGGCTATATTAAAGTATAGAAGGTCAAGGCATTTGGCCGTCAAAGGGGGTATTTTGTCCCCTTTAAAAAAGTACGGTACTATTATACTCCGCATATTTCATAATACCAAACTTTAGCACACAATCGAAGGGTCTTATTCTATGAGAACCAATATCGATAGTTAGATATGCAAGGGTTTTTCGCCTTCTGAGTCCAAAATTGAGGTCGGTTTCAGCTAATTCGCAGTAGTTTTAGCGCTATGGGCTCTAAAAAAAAAGGATCTCGGAAGTTCTAACTTGCTCGTAGGCTGATCTGGCGTCGTTATGCATAACCTAAGAGCTGTCATTGGTTGATAATGAGACTCGTATGATTTTCATGAGAAAGACGCAGTACGACTCCAGTGGAGTCGTCAATCGTTGTGTCGCGTCATGATGTGCAGATCAACAGCAAGATGAGATCGCGAATGAAAAGTATATATATTTATAAAGGTGATCTTTAGCAGTTTAAGCCTATCAGGCTTGATGTAGGCATCCTCGTTCTTCTGGACGTGGAGGTAAGCCTTCAGCCACTCGTCATCGCACTCCTCCAGACCTTGAAGTACCTTCTTGACAACATCGGCGCCGCTTTTTGGAGGCGTCCTTGCGATGCGCCCCTTGACAATCCCCCAAATATGCTCGATTGGTTGAAGTGTCGGATGGAAAGGTGAAGTAAAGAAGACGAGATGATAGTACTTGTTGGCAATTTCGGTGACTTGATATTTTTTTTGGTGGTCAATAAAGCTCGATCAACTCAATTAGAGTACGAATGGTCGCTTTATGACTAAAACCATGCTAGCTACACAAAACTAAGTTTAAAAATTAAAAAAAAATAAATGAAGAGAAAACAAACTGTTTTTCCACAGCCATTCTTGAATGTCGGCTTTAAACCACCCTGACTTTTGTGGGCTTGGATTAATCTGACGCTTGCGGTACGATGCTCCATCTAAATAGATGTTGCAACGACCGTGTTTTTGCAGATTCTTGCAAAAATCCTAAATCCAGCGCTCAAATTGGACGGCTCGAAATTGCCATGGTAAATGTCGCTATCTTGCTTTCTCTTTAAAGTAGAATTCCAAACGTTGATGGAATCTTCGACAAAACCCCCACTTAGTACTGCTCCTTTGCTTTTAATAATTCCTGCAGCAATAATACACGCACTAACAAAACAAAACATAGACAACTATTAATAGAATCGATTTTTAGCTAAACAAAATTTACTTACCAAGCTCCTCGTCCAGTCTTACCGTAGCGAATCTTATCTGCAGTCAACCATGTCTTGCCTGTGACGTGGTTGACGTTGCAGTAAGGTTCGTCCAGGTAGAGTTCTGCTCTGTCGACTCCGAGGCGGAAGCTTCGCTTAGTTCCTCGCATTGGACCATGCACAGCAATTCGATTTGCTACTTTTTTTTTTTCTCTAAGTAGGTACGTCGGAACGCAACATTACCGGGCGTTTCGGCGTAAATGTGTCGTTCTTCACTTTTTAAATGACGGAAGCCCAGTTCATGAAGGATCCGAGTCATAGTGTCTCCCTTCAGCTGAGCCCCACACACGTCAGCAACTTCATTACATACATGTTGAGCAGTGATAGGCTGGCCTCCCATATTTTGTTTTACAACGAAGTCGCGAATCGCTGGAGCGATTGCATTAAGGTCAAACATGCGGGGCCTTCCCCTGCTATTCGGAACAGGCTTTAGAACTACAGCACCAAAATATTAGATGTTAAAGTTAATTGATATGTAACTGTTAAATAT